GGAAATTCTTACTTGGAGGATTTAGGATTGTAAACAAGACTTGTCAGAGTGAGTAGTAGGTTTGTTATCAAAATTTGTTTATGCTCGATTTGTTTAGCTATTGATCTCAAATGAGATTTGATTGAGCCGATCACGAGTGGAGTTTGAGAGTTTGGCTTTTATAGTTTATATGTAACTTGGGTTTAGATGAGAGTTAGGTTTAGTTTGATTTAAAACTTAACGAGTTTAAAAAATATTTTAAAGTTTGGTTTGGGTACACCATGTGATTTACTTTTTCAGATATTGAATTTTGGGTTTGGTTATGGTGTGCAACTTACACCTTACACCTTATACCTTACACTTACACCTTACACTTACACCTTTTGTAAAAAATTAAACCTTACACTTACACCTTTTTTGAGGTTGCACACCATGTGCAACCCACTTACACCTTACACCTTACACTTACACCTTATACTATACTTACACCTTACACTTACACTTTTTGTGTAAGTGGCACATGGTGTGCACTTGCACACTTAAGAAAACTCCTTGAATTTTTGTTCATTTTGGTTATGATTCTATTGAGTCATAATATTACTTTTTTACCCCTGTTATTGGTTATATTTCAACAATGATTCATCCCACTAAAAACATCACCACTAATAGCACTAATGCATTAAAAAAATAAAAAAAATAAAATAAAAATACAACTCCAAGACCAAAACATCAAATCATTAATGGCGGGACCCACTGCCACCTAATTAGTGGGACCACTAATTAGTGCTCCCAAGCATTTTTCGTTATATTTATATGCCCCATTGTTTTGTTATCCTTTTTGAGCTAAATAGGTTGTGATGGCTATTTTTAACATGTTAAAATGTCTTGATGTGATGTTTGGGTTTTGCTTTCACACTATGTTCAAGAACTTAGGAGAGAAAAGAAAAGAAAAGAAATGATTACTTAAGTTATAAGAGAAAAGAAATGAAATGAAATGATTGTGATTTCTCGCATTTTTGTTTAGATAAGGAAGAAATAAAAGAAAAGAAATGATTGTAATTTCTCTCATTCTTATTTGGTTAGATTTCATTAACAGAAAAGAAAAGAAATTATTTTATATTATATTACCAAAATAACCTTTTTATATTTTCAATCATTTTATTTCTTTTATTTTTAGAGGGACAAAATTGGTATTATGAAAATAGTGATTTATTTTCTTTTCCAATCTCTCCACTTTTGGGAAGATTGAAAATGAGACTTATAAGAGAAATGAGTTTCTCTCTATTTCTTTTTATTTCTCTCCACTTAGGTTATTCAAACAAGTAAGAGAAATACATATCTTTCCATTTCTTTTCTTTTCTCTCCAAATCACTCAATCCATACAAATAAGTTTTCAAAAATAACCAAACCAAACAAATTTTCCCAAAAAAATTTCCCAAAACTTGTAAACCAAACAAGTTTTCCAAACAAATCTCTCTCTCACACACATCAAATCAATCACTTTTTCCAAAACTCTATCTCAAAATAATTTTCCAAAACATCTTTTAAAAAAAACCAAACCAAACATGTTTTCGTACTTTTTATCTCTAAAACACATCTCTCAAACACAAACCAAACATACCCACAAAATTTTATTATTAGCCATCTCAATTACACAAGCATCGCCCGTATCAAATAAGAGTAATGTTAGACCCTAAATATTCTACCAAAAGTTTTACCAAATGTCTCACATGGGTGTGGGACCCACACAATGTGGGTCCCATGTGGGTCCCACACCCATGTGAGACATTTGGTAAAACTTTTGGTAGAATATTTAGGGTCTAACATTACTCTTATTTGATACGGGCGATGCTTGTGTAATTGAGATGGCTAATAATAAAATTTTGTGGGTATGTTTGGTTTGTGTTTGAGAGATGTGTTTTAGAGATAAAAAGTACGAAAACATGTTTGGTTTGGTTTTTTTTAAAAGATGTTTTGGAAAATTATTTTGAGATAGAGTTTTGGAAAAAGTGATTGATTTGATGTGTGTGAGAGAGAGATTTGTTTGGAAAACTTGTTTGGTTTACAAGTTTTGGGAAATTTTTTTGGGAAAATTTGTTTGGTTTGGTTATTTTTGAAAACTTATTTGTAGAGAAAATTTCCCAAATTTTTTTCAGAAAATCAAACCAAACGAGCCCTGAATTTCTGTTCATTTTGGTTATGATTCTATTGAGTCATAATATTACTTTTTTACCCCTGTTCTTGGTTATATTTATATGCCCCATTGTTTTGTTATCCTTTTTGAGCTAAATAGGTTGTGATGGCTATTTTTAACATGTTAGCATGTCTTGATGTGATGTTTGGGTTTTGCTTTCATACTATGTTCGAGAACTTAGGAGAAAAAAGAAAAGAAAAGAAATGATTACTTAAGTTATAAGAGAAAAGAAATGAAATGAAATGATTGTGATTTCTCGCATTTTTGTTTAGATAAGGAAGAAATAAAAGAAAAGAAATGATTGTAATTTCTCTCATTCTTATTTGGTTAGATTTCATTAACAGAAAAGAAAAGAAATTATTTTATATTATATTACCAAAATAACCTTTTTATATTTTCAATCATTTTATTTCTTTTATTTTTATAGGGACAAAATTGGTATTATGAAAATAGTGATTTATTTTCTTTTCCAATCTCTCCATTTTTTAGAAGATTGAAAATGAGACTTATAAGAGAAATGAGTTTCTCTCCATTTTTCTTTATTTCTTTTTATTTCTCTCCACTTAGGTTATTCAAACAAGTAAAAGAAATACATATCTTTCCATTTCTTTTCTTTTCTCTCCAAATCACTCAATCCAAACATAGGGTTTAAATTACCATTAAAAACTCCTAGTCCTTTTCATCTGTATCGTGAGGATGAAGCTTGTATTTGTACTGATACAATGATTTATGATTTATCTTGTGTGTTGCAATGTATTGGCAGAGGGACAAGGAACTTTTTACTTGGACGATTTAGGGTTAGGTTTGTTTTCAAAATGTGTTTAAGCTTGATTTGTTTGGCATTTTATCTCAAATGAACTTTAATTGAACTGATCACAAGTGGAGTTTGAGAGTTTGGCTTTAATAGTGTATATATGACTTGGGTTTAGATTAGAGTTAGGTTTAGTTTGATTTAAGAACTTAACAAGGTTTATAAAAATATTTCAAAGTTTGGTTTGTCTACACAATGTGTAGTTTAAATGAACTTCTAATAAGCCGAGCAGGAGTCTCTTTGATTAGATTAGTTTGTTTTATAGTCTAATTTATATTTTGTTTTGGGAGGTTTGGGTTAAACCTGTTTAAAGTAATTAGATCGGGTGTTCTTAGCTAATCTCAAAGACCATTTCTTTCGACAATTGTTTTTGGTTGTACCTATTTGAAGAATGATATTCAAGGTGTAGGCAGCCATCTGATTTATCTGTCACAATAGTTGCAACGTTGAAGTTAAAGTTAGCAAACCAAGCCTTGACACTGTCACAAGTTAGTCTATTCTGCGTGATGTCGCGGTTCGAGTTTACTGTAATGGGATGGTGCTTTCCTTTTTCAATTCACCTCCTTTTGAATGGCAAAAGGCCTATCATTAACTTCTTTTGGCAAGTTGCAAGTTGGGCTTTTTTGGCTATTTTAGCCATAAAAGACAAAATAGGCTATTTTAGCCATAACAAACAAAATATCACATCCAACCCATAATCATTACATTATTCTCTCACAAAAAAACTCAAAAAAGTCAAATCTATTAAGGGTTAGACCATTTTCCCTATTATTAGGGTTAGATTAGGGGGGTTTTTTTGTTTTTGTTTTGAGAAAACAATAGGGTAGGTCTGTTTATTATCACACTTTTGTTAACAATTTTTAATTGATCCGAAAGTGTTAGGATGAATATACGTTTTGGATGTAAAATCTGATGTTTTGAACCGAACCATTTTTCCCATTATGTATGATTTTTTTTGTTTGTGTAGTATTGGTACTCATTGATAATTCCTTTGTATTCTCTTGTATGTTTATGAAATGTGCATGTTGTTTCCCCTTTCCCTATTTTATTTACCCATCTCAATAATTTTTGTAAAATGGTGGTTTCTGTTTGGTTTGATTTTTCAAAAATTATTTTTATTGAATTTTTTTTTTCATTTTTATTGAATTTTTTTTTCATATTTAGTCAATTTTTTATTTTTTTAAGATGCATTTAATCAATAAGATACATCTAAAAAGTAAAACAAATTAACTAAGATATTGAAAAAAAAATCATTAAAAATAAATGAAAATTTTATTTGTATTTTTAGTTAAATTTTTTCATATTTTAGTTTTTTTTTTTTTTTTTTTTTTTTACTTTACTTTTTTGCATGAATTTGTATTTTAGTCAATTTTTTCATCTATGTATCTAAAAAGTAAAAAAAAAAAAATGACTAAAATATGCAAAAGTTCAATAAAAATTCATTCAAAAAGTTTTTTTGAAAATTCAGTCCACAAAATGTTTTTAAAATTGACATGTCACTCATGTTTTATTTTTCTAATGAAATTCTTTTTATATATGCGAAAATTTCACAAAAATAATGTGAACGTTATTTTATATATAAAAGTCATCTTCACAAGTGTTCTTTTAAAATAAAAAAGGATTAATAATTAAAATTTTAAATTATTTTATAAAGATTTCACCGAATTGTAATTTTTCTCAATAACAAATTCACATTAAATCACATCATTCTATATAAAAATTATATTATATTATTATTTATGAAAATATGATGAATATAATATTTTTATAAATACTTATTTTTAGTGTATAAAAACACTTGCAGACGAGATTGTCAATTGGTCATAAAAACACTATCACATCATTCTATATAAAAATTATATTATATTATTATTTATGAAAATATGATGAATATAATATTTTTATAAATACTTATTTTTAGTGTATAAAAACACTTGCAGACGAGATTGTCAATTGGTCAACCTCCAAAAATTCCAAGCAATTGCAAGATATGAGACTCCTGTAACACCATACACATAACCACTAAGCCATTTTCTTCTTGACATTTGCAAGTTGTGGTCTCGTTTAAGTTAGGTTTGGATTTTAAATTTATGAGAGCTGGAAAAAAATAAAAAAAAATAAATGTCCCACAAATAAAGATGAAACAAAAAAAGGCAGATTATAAACAATACAATCTCAAGTTCTAGATTCTCCTTGGTTTCCAGTTCAGTTATTAGTTGCCATTTGTGGCATGATGTAACCATTCATTTGTGTGGATCACCGTTCATTTGTGTAGACTCCACATAGAATCTACACGACACGACACACAAATGAACAATGAGATCGGCATTTGCCACAAATGGTATCCAATAATTTTATATTTCAAGGAAAACCAAATTTGCTTTATTTTGTGTGGCCTAATAATTCTCTCCATAGCTCTCTCTAGTCCTATTTCCGCTGCATAGACCTTGTTCAAGTTTCCCTTAAAGCTTTGGCTCGGACAGACTAGGATGTTCCAGATATAGCTGCACACAGATAGGTTCACTGCTCATTGACTTGACAGGGGTTATCAATGGAGGTTGCAGCCACTGCTTCGTGTCTGTCGGGATCCATAACTCTGCATCCTTGCTTGTACTAGCCTGAGGGAGTGAACGGAAGTAAACAGTTATCTCCCACCTGCAATCTGTCCAAGGAAAAGAGCTTGGTGACCTAATTTCCCATATCAAAGCAATGCAAAACAAAGCACAAAACAATATTATCATGTTAAAGGAAAAGAGATCGGTGACCCAATTTCCCATCTCAAAGTGATGCAAAACAAAGCACAAAAGAATATTATCATGTTGAAGAAAAAGAGCTCAGTGACCCAATTGCCCATCTCAAAGCGATACAAAACAAAGCATGAAACTATATTATCATATCAAGTAGACACACAAAGCATTTGATCAACTCTTGATGCAAAACAAAGCACGAAACAATATTATCATGTTAAAGGAAAAGAGCTGGGTGACCCAATTTCCCATCTCAAAGCGATGCAAAACAAAGCACAAAAGAATATTATCATGTTGAAGGAAGGTGACCCAATGTCCCATCTAAAAGCGATACAAAACAAAGCATGAAACAATATTATCATGTCAAGTAGACACACAAAGCATTTGATCAACTCTAGCAAATCAAACACCTATGAATTATTTTCATTTCACAACATAAAGCAAATTTAGAAGAAAAATTGGGCACATTTTGAGTCACAAAATAGAGAGAACTATAATGACAAACCTCAATCAAGGACTGCGTCAAGAAGTTTAACACTTGCCACTTACCCCGGGGCAAAACCTTTGTTAGAGTTTCTGATAATGGAAGCTTGATCAAGAATGATCGAAGAGAGAACTCTAGATCAGCTTCTTCCACCTTTGCACCATAAGACTGGTTAACGAAAAGCTTGAAAATAAATCTCTCCAATGGGACGTTCTCAGTGTTATAGAAAATAATTGCGACTCTTTCCACCAAGCCCTAGTTCAGAAAAGGGCATATGTGTTTCAGTAAAACCTGATGGTACATCAACCCGCTGCAAAATGGTTAGCATTGCAAAGGTGACTTAGTAATTTGTAGTGTGCATTTGCACACGGAGTGTGCAGTATCCAAGGTCATTTAAATCGGAATTCTAAGTGGGATCGTTGGAAGAGACTCCAGGATTGGATCATAGAATCGGATCAAGAATTGTAAGATTCTACTTTCAACGCAAAATAAATGAAAAATTATGGATAATGATAATGTATGTTAAAAAATAAAAAAATAAAAAAATAAAAAATAAAATTGATATAATGCACTTTCTATGTTAATATAAGTTGGAAAAAAAGATTGAAAAAGGAGTTTGTAGTTAAATTTTTTTATATAAATATACATATATACATACATATATATAAGAAATAAATAATAACAAAAACAATTTGTAGGATCGTAATCGTAATAGAATCAGAATCGTATGTGATTCTACTAGATTTTATGAATAGAATTGTAATCACTTTAAGATCCTAGTGTGATCCAGATTGTTTGGCCTAATTAAGATTGTAGGATCATAAGATCCAGGTCAAAATTCTGATAATAAAGTACAATAACAGATCTTAACAGAATATTCAGTCATTCTTCATCTATATGTCAATTAAAAAACTTTGAGGGAAACATTTTGCACTACCAGAGGGAAACAACAAATTCTTCAAGGCTGTGTTGTGTTCGAATCATATATTTGGGTAGGGATTTGTAGAGGAAAAAAAAAAATTCTCTCATTTTCTTTTCCCTCTACAAATCTTTACTCAAATTTATAATTCAAACACAAACTAAGGGGGAGTAGAAATATATAGTTAGTGCAAATGTGCAGCTATAATTCAAGTTTCCACTATAGACATGTATCTAACAAATAGGTCCAGTCAAACTACCTGAACATAAAAAGGTGACCCAATGCATGAAACTACTACTAAAGCAATAACTACGACTTTTTATGCAGTCTTCCATGAGTTACCAGGGATATTATGACCACGCATACAATTCACATTTCTGACAGGCGTGTATTGTTGTAAATAGCACATTTTGCCCCTTGCTCTATCTTTTGATGCTTCAATTTTAGTGGTTTGGACACACCAATACACTATTTGCCAACTCAACTGAAGAAGCCTTGTCTTGAAATATTAGGGATCAGCCACATAAATTTCCTCATCGTTCATATTACTATGATTCTTCCACATGTAATTAAGTGAAGCATAACTCAATTTATGGTCTACATTGATATTCAAAATTCATAATCATTCCAAAAATCATGATGAAATCATGATACGGCCGAAAACTTATAGTAAAAACTGGTTCTTAGAGATTATTGCAATAAATAATGGCATCAAGTAATGCTATTTATGAAGCAAGATATCTGAGATTTGTGTAATGTGAGCATACAAAACGTATAATGAGAAAACTGGTTCTTAGAAAAAATTTTGCCATCATTGGTGATGATTGTAGCCATCTAATTTAATTCATTTGCCTGCAGCCTATGGGAGGAAAAACAACTACACAATTACCTTGAAGCTGCGTTGGTGGCATGAAATCCAAGTTTCTAATTCTGAATTGGAGGCTATCTCAATGGAAATTTTGAACTAAGACAGACTTTTAATTCCAATTCTGATACTTGGATTTTATAGTGCCAAACACACTCTAACAAAAATAAAGGTAATTTTGCACACCTTCTGGATAAAAGGAAGGAGTCCAGTGACTGAGGAATGGATGTATTCTCTAAGTTGCGGGTGGCGAGCCTTCTGAACCACTACATTCATATATCGCCGTCTTTCAAACGCACCTACTCCCATCATTTTCAAACATGAAAAGAAAAAACCCACAGACATTTCAGTTGAACAAAAGAAAGGGAAATTAAAAATAATAAAAAATAAAAATATGAATCGTTATGAACCTATTCGAGTTGATTTTTTATTTATGGAAAATGAGTGAAAGCACTAATTAGTGTCACCACTAATGATGTGACAGTGGGTCCCACTCATTGTCACAGTGTTGTTGTGTTGCCACATCATTAGTGGTTGCTTTAGAGCACCATTTTTAGTGGTCTCTATCATTGCCCATTATGAAAAATGCTTTGGAGCTCTAATTTTTGAAAAATTAATGGTCTCTATCATTGCACATTAAATAATGAAAAATGCTTTAGAACTCTAATTTTTGAACTCTAAATGTAGCTCTAATGAGTTGGCAGTAGGCTCCACCCACACTGATGTGATATTTTGGTCTTGGTTTGTTTTTATTTTATTTTTTTTGTTCATTGTCATGTCATTAGTGCTCCATTAGAGCACCAAAATTAGTGGTCTGAATCATTGCTGTTAAATAATTGAGCAGCAATGATTCAGACCACTAATTTTGGTGCTCTAATGAAGCACTAATGACATGACAGTGAACAAAAAATATAAAATAAAAACAAACCAGGACCAAAACATCACATCACTGTGGGTAGAGCTCACTGTCAACTCATTAGATCTACCTTTAGAGCTCAAAAATTAGAACTCCAAAGCATTTTTCTTTTCAAATATGAAAAGAAAAACCCATCAGATTTCATTTGAACAAAAATAATAATCATAATAATAAATAATATTAAGCCTATTCGGGTTGATTGCTTCTGACCAAATGAAAACAATTAAGCCTTCTGAACCACTACATTCGCATATCAATGCCTTTCAAATGCACATACTCCCTGTCAATGGATCGGATTTAATCCGAATCCAATCCGAATCCGATTCGATAACCCGAATCCGTTTACAAAAAATCCGATCCGATAATCCGAATCTGTTTAATCCATTTATTAAACGGACTGAATCTGAAAAAATCCGATCTGACCCGATAATCCGATCCTATTATTCTCAATTTGAATGAAAAAAACATAAAATGAAAAAAAAAAAAATCAAATTATATAAAATTGCAGCTCAATAAATAAATAAATGGATCGGATCGGATTATCAGATCGGATATCCGAAATCATCGGATTCGGATTCGGATATCTATAATCGGACATAGACTAAACGGATTCGGATCGGATTCGGGTTTGACTTAATCGGATCGGATTCGGATTTTGACAGATCCGATCCGAATCGGATCCATTTACAGGCCTACTCCCATCATTTCAAATATGGAAAGAAAAAACCCATCAAAATTTCAGTTGAACAAAGCAAGAGGGAAAAAAAATACAATTATGAACCCTAATGGGGTTGATTGATTCTGATCAAGACTGAACCACCACATTCATATATCGCTAAAGAACAAACGGATCTACTCCCACCATTTTCAAATATGAAAAGACAAAAAACCCAGGAGAAATTCCAGTTGAACAAAGAAAGAGAAATAATATATATAAAATAGAATTACGCATGTTTATAAACCCTATTGGGGTTGAATGCTTCAGATAAAAAGGAAAATAATTGAATTAGTAAATGGAACTTTCTTGATTCGAGGTCTCTGCTTATTCGGGATCAACTAAATCTCATTTATATAGTTATGAATTG